CCTACAATTTCAAAGTCTCTCACTTAGTTCCCTTTTTTTGCCATAAAGGTACACATTCAGCTCTTCTTGGAGGTCCCTGCTCTGTATTTCCTCTGCAGGAAAGACTAATTCCCCACCCCCACCCCCCCCCTCACTCCATTCTCACAAACATCAGTTTATCTGGAGCACTTTCCCCACGCGTGGTTAATCAGCCTTGCATATGAAAGACGATGCCAAATGCCCCAAACTATAGCTGCATCCACAATCCAAAAACATATCCTAATTCAGCAGCAAAACTAGGCATAGACTCTAGTTCTTTGGTGTCATGATTTCTTGCAGTTTTTTTTTTTTTTTCCATTCATTACATAGACACTACATGAAATCGAAATGTTTGTTGGACCAAGTCACTACATCTCTTGAGTACTCTGGTGTTCTACTATACAGAAACAAGAAACCATGCACACAAATTTAATCTGTTGTACCTGAAATGACGATTGGACAGGTACCTATCATGTAGTTAGCGAAATGTACAAAAAAATTTCATTCTATGTTCAGAACTGTACTAGTAAACTTGGGCAGCTTTCGGGTACATTACCTGCAAAATCCTAGACAAGATATATATCCTTTTGTTGATATAAAGATGATAAAATAATTGATAAAAATATAGAAGACAAGCAGAATCTCCTAGTTATATTCTATATTATGAAGAAAATTGGATGATGTAGACAAATCTATGAAGTAATGAATTATTACCTATTGCCAATGATATCTATGAAGACGTTTAGTTCCACCCATAAAACATCCTAGAATTTGCATAGCTATAAACTCACAATCAAGAATTTTGAAAGAATCATCTGGCAAGCAAATGGAAACAATGGCCTTTCCTTTCAAAACAACTTTGGAGTTTGAATGTGTTCCAGAAAGCCAGTAAATACTTTCATTTTAAAAGTATTTGAAAAATAAGAGGGATCATCTCGGTAGCTTAGAAGCCAGTTGACCTAATGCTGACTTGGCAAAATCAAAGCGTAATCTATTTGGGTTACACTCAGCTAAGAAAGGAAACATAATAGTATTTGATTTAATTGAATGAAAAAGATCTCATTAGAAGAATTACATGTTCTTTTGTGGCAATGTAAGTTTGGTACTTCAAGATGGTCCAGGATTAATACAGCAAGACTTGCATCTAAGTACAACACAGCCTGGTCCTTTTGTAAAGGAAAAGAAAGGCAATAGCTAAGTGCTACAGGAGGGAGCCAAGCCTTACTGGGAGACACCTACACCAGCTCAATTAAATTCAGTTGTTTGGAAAGATGAATACAGCAGCTCGATCACGGGCATGTAACTCATTAGAAAAGATTTTTGATAGCAGAAGACTTTAATGTACTGAAGAAAGGCGTAACAAGACCTTATGAGAAGGAAAAGAAAATAAAAAAAGAAGAGAATGGCAGTTTCAATGGCAGTGAAAACCAGCAAAATAAGCGACATGGTTGATCAACCATAGGGCTTTAAATTGTGCAAGTTTAAAATCTTTCTTGAAGATTTAACTGAATTATAGACCAGCAATGCTATCATTAGTCATGGCTGAGATTCCATTACCATGTTGTGGGTGACTTTTCTAAATGATTTCCAGCCTACATGATGTTTCCTTTTAAAGCAATGAGAATTTGCAAAATCCAGCTAAGAAGTGACAACTGATTCAGGAAAGGACAAGGAGTGCTGCCACATTCCAGTGAAGACTCAAGATGCAAACTAACACAGAACTCCAGAATCAATACCAAGTCTTCTTCGGTATACACATAGGGGAACAAATGGATTGGCATTATGAAGAAAATGCGGAGTTAAAGATTTCAGGAAGCTAAAGAGGAAGGACCACAGGATCTTGCTGGAGAATATCCCATTCCTGCAAGTGGAAGTTAAATATTTGAACTGCTGTCAGCTTGAGAATACAAATCTGACAAAGTCACACTCTGAAACTTGAGGCTTCTTCTCCATAGCGGATAACTGTGTACGGATGTTATGTTTTGCATCCTGCATGTAGCTACTATACTGTTTCAGTTACCCTGAGGCACTCTGAATGTGTTAAGCAGCCTCAGAAATTCAAAGAGAAAGACCTGATAAAAACTCAACTAGGTGACAATGAGAATAAAGTATTTTTCATTGTTTCTGCCCAGATTGCTGTTCCTGGTGTAAACAGAAATAAGAAATTCAACTGACTGGGGGGGGAAAAAAAGTCCAGGAATAAAGTGGCACTTCTGAAACTCAATGGGAAAGCACCTTAATAAAAGCCAGTTTCCTCCTGTGTGATAGTAAAAGTTACAGAAACAGCAGCAAACTGCACAAACATAAGCAGTACCTTTGAAATTACCAGTAACAAAAGAATTGTACAGCCTTAAATACACAGACATCCCTGTGCTTGGTAATAGATTCCAAGAAGGAAGGATAGAAGACATAAGAAAACAATGCACCAAACAAGGGAAGGTGATCTCAAGCACCTTTAACACAAAACAAACAAAACAACAACAAACCTCACAACACTGCAAGAAATGTTTTAACTTGCAAGACATTCCCCAAGGTATTCAAGCAGTCAGCCAAATATCCTTCCCATTTTCAAAATTAATTTCCTTAAAACTAGACGCTGCACCCAAAACAAGTCGATTTCTCAGAGTTCAACACGATGCATACAAGACATGGCAATGTGAGTGCAAACTGGCAGTTTTATATGTTCGTATTGAACATGGGCCTGTGGAGGAGAGCTACAGGCAGTAATAAACCTATGCATAGTCTGTGCTTCACAAAGCAAATTCCAAGGTGAGCAAACTTGTGAACTGAGTTGCTTGGAAGAGAAAAAAAAAATGTAAGGCGGGAAAATGTGAATGAAAACTATTCTTTAATTAAAATATGATTGTATGGCCAAAAACATCCCAATTCCGCAAAGCTTTCAGGAAAAGCTTGTTCTGGGTTCAGTGAGAAAGTCTGTGAGCAAGAAAAAACAACTGAAACAAGGGGGAAAAAAAGACAAAAGGCCCAAATACAACACATGGAAAAGGGGAAGGCCAGACAAATGAGATAAAACAGATATTATTAGATAGAAAAAAAAAACCCTCAAAAACTAGTAAGGAAAAATTTGCGGCAAGCAAAACCACTGATAAAAGGAAAGGAATTTTGGAGCTTTCATTTGTTTTTGATGTGTTTTTGTTGGTTTTGGTTATTGTTGTTGTGTTTTTTTTTTTAATAAAAAGCAGACAAATAAATACTGCTAATATCCATGCTAAGTAAAAATGATTAAACTGCTAGAGAATAAAGAAAATCAGTCAGCAAATACTTCTAATCCCATAGTCAGAAACAGAACGTGGCAGGAGTATGAAAATAGCAACTTCTCTTCAGTACCGTAGTTTCAAAGCAAGAAATCAGACAACATCTATTGGGGACATATATTTTTAAGTCAGTAAAGAAACAGTCCTAGAAGAGTTGACTAGCAAGCTCTCTAGCCCAGCAGTTCCAATTTTAATTAAATGTGGGATATTAGAGAAATACTGTAAGACATTCACGACAGTATTCCCAAAATGCAAATGAAAGGACTCAGCATCAAAATCAGTCGGAGGCAAAATAATGGAAAACCCGTTAAGATGAAGAATGAATGAATGAGTGAAGAATGAATCCTATAACCCAAAGATTTACGAAATACAGGTTTTGTAGAGGGGAAAAAAAAAATGAAACCCTGGATTCGTTCATTGATGACATCATTATACGTTTGGTTTAACAAAGGGGACTGCATAGGTGCAACATACTTAAATTTTCATAAGGCATTGACCTAGCACCATAAGTCAAAAAGATTTACTGTACATAATCACATACTAAGAGGATTAAGAAATGCCTTCTAGCCTGCAAGTCTCGAAAAGAAGCTAATAAAAAGTTGCACTGAATGATGCTTTTCAAGTTAGTGTAGGTCAGATGGATCTGAAAGTTAAAAAGTAACAACTGATACAGTTTGTGGGTGACAATAACTGGCAAAAGTGGCTTGTGACCTCGACCACTATAAGCCAGGTCAAACAAAATGGACTTTGAGACCGTCTCACATTAAACAAGCAGGAAATAAGAACTCTGACTATCTATAGAAAGGGGAAAAGATTACCATAGGAAGCTGAGATTTCTGATGATTTAGGAATTGCACCAGATAAGCAGCTAACATGAGCTCCTGTATAATGCTGGAGAAAAGAGAAAATGCAATCCTCTGCAGACTTAAGGCAAAGGGAAGGGCAACCTTGTCCATGGCACCGGAGATTGAACACTTAATTCAGAAATGAATGTTTTTACAGGATTCAGAAAAAATTGACATGATGTGAAAATAAAAGATAAGAATAATTCACAGGCAGGAGGAAATCCTTTATAGTGGAAGACTGAAGGAGTTCCCTCTACTTAGCTTGTAAAAAGTAGATTTTGAGAGATGTTAGTGTTTTAAATACCAGGTCAGAGGAGGAAGCTCTAAGGTTCTCTAAATCAGTACGATGGATCTGAACTGGAAGCCAAAGGCAACCAAATCCAAGAGAAACCAGACTTAGATATTTAGAGAGCAAGAACACAAAGCCCTTGCAGCGGGTTACCAATGGAAGGGATTTGCTGTGTCCCTGTGCCTCAAAATCAAGCCAATACATTCTGTGAAATTGCACTTAAAATACACCTTAGCTATCGAGGCTCAGTGCAGAATAAATAGCTTGAAATGTCACCTGTAAAATGTAGGAGTCAGGTAGTCTCTTCTAGCCTCATCTGTGAACCTACAAAAAACTTCAGCCACTTGCAGCCAAGCCTGCTGACTAAACACAGAGAAGCAACTCTCTGCCACAGACTACCCAGGTGCAGAGCTCCAACTTTCACTACGCAAACCACAAGGCTGCCTGAAGACAGGGATGCATTACTCACGGTGCTCGGTGCTTGCAGCAGCAAGATGCTCGTGCTGCAGTCTGGTGCGTGGGGAAGGAACACACGGCACAGGGGCAGGGTGCTTGCAGTAGCACCTCTGAGGAGCCTTTTACACCAGTTTATTTCTACACAAGGTGATTAAAAAAAAAAAAAAGCTCCTTTTGTTTGTTCGTACAGAAATCTGAAACTATAGGCTTTGAGTGGGTATTTTAAAATCCCAACACATGCTTTTTTCCCTTGCCTTTTCATTTGAGTCAGCCTCCACGATCCAAAGAAACTAAGAAGTGATACACAAGACCATAGTCATGTGGACCAAAAAAAAAAAAAGAAAAAAAAATTAAAACAAACAAATAAACAAACCAAAAGGGAAGGAGAAGAGAAGACAAAGAGAGAGGGAAAAACAAACGAAGATTGAAAATAAAAATTTGCCAGGATAATGCGTTTTATAAACACAGAGATAGAAACAGTTACAGCAAGGACAGAGCGGGCCAGGGGTGGGGAATAGATATTTATATATATATATATGTATATATATATAAATTCACGGGGCCTTCAGTTTATTCTTGTTGGCTCCCCGTTCTCTTTAGATTGGTCTCTCTGTGGGGATCTTCATCCCTTTCTCTCCACTGTCCACCTTTTGGGGATTCTCTCCCATGATCAGGGTCCAGAAGAGGCCACCACTGCCATGTGAGTCCAGCCCGTCTTGGCAAGAGGAGCCTGAGAGAGCACTCTGGTGGGAGCTGAGCAGAGAAGCTAGCCTTTCCCTATCACCCGCCGGCTCCTTGAAAGACTGGTCTACTCCTCCTCCTCCTTCCCTTTAGGAAACGGGGCAGGACAGGGGGGTGTGAGTCAGAACTGCTGTTGTTCCACCTTGCGAGAAAGGGAGTAGAGAGAAGGGCGATGATTATTTTGGCAGTCTCTCACCCTCCCCTCCATTGCTTTTTGGTTTGTTGTTGATGCCTGCAGGCTTTTCTGAGGAGGTGGGGGAAGCAGGAGGGAGAGAAGTACAAGCTGCTAGGACATCATCCACAACGGGCAGGAAGAGCAACGAGCAGGAACCCACATTCCTATGGGGCCTTGGCCATTACGCTGCTCAGATAGCTGGGAGAGGCAGCAGCCAGTTCCAACAGACTCCTCTCTATTGCTCTCCACTAGGGGAGAAGAAAGAGTGCAATACTCCATAGCCCCCAGGCAGTGCAGGCACCTGTCCAGCCCAGAGAACATGCCTCATCTCTCCCCCACACTGGTCTCACTTTCCACTGGGGAGGTTTCTCCCATCCAGTCCTGGGGGCAGAACAATCGACCCCTCCTCCCTTTCACAAGCAGGAGGAACAGGAATGGATATTTCCCTCTTAGACACTCAAGGAAATCCTCAAAAAAAAAAAAACAAAAAAACCATCCAGTTGTGAACCCTGCCACATTCTTCTGTGGCCCACTGAAAGCATGTCCAAGCCCCTGTACATACTAGGACTCCATTCCATTCACCACGCATGTCTCAACACCTCCCCACCCCTTCATACGCATCCTACAGTGAGAGAAGGCAAAACAGAGGCCTTTCTTTGGGTTTTAAAGGAGGGGCTCTTGCATGAGGAAGTGATCCCAGCACAGGAAAGGAGCTCTTGCACAAGGAAGCATCCTCCTACCAGGCAGGTCGTTGCACAGAAGGAGCACCCCCTTGATAAAGGCTGTTATTCAAGGGGCTGCCATGAACAGGGTTACACGGCCAGAAGAGGCTGTTGCAGGAGGAGAGGCCGGAGACTGTTGCACGAGGAGGGCCACCACACAAGCGGTGCCCCTGGGCGCAGGCTATGCACAAGAGGCTTTCTGCTCCCTGGCTTGAGGTCTCTCTAGGAGCTGGAGAGGTGCTCCACTTGGATGGCGCTGGTGCTGACAGTGAGGCAGATGTCCTTATGATGCTCTGAAGTCTTGTAAGGAGTCAGGTCAAAGGAGCACTGAGGGGGAGGATTGGGTTGGTTAGTGTCTCCAGAAGGGCCCCCTGCTGCCCCACCTCCCTGTGGCTGGAAGTGCTGCTGCTGCTGAGAGGCCTGGGCTTGGGCCTGAACCACCTGCTGCTGTGGATCAGGGATGTTGTGTTTCCGCATGTGCTTCATCAGGTACGTCTCCTGCAATGGGAAGAACGGCATGACAGGTGGGGATGACTCAGAAGAAAAAAAAGGAACAGGGAGGGATACGACAACTCATGGTGCTGCTTCCACAGAACCTACTCCCTGGGGAAGTGTTCCCACTTCTGATAGCTCTCAAGGAGCCAACACTCACCGAGGTGTAGGCCCGGCTGCAGATGGAGCAGGTATAGACCTTGGCATGTTTCACCGTGTGTGTAGCCAGGTGTACCTCCAGCGAGGCAGCATCTGTGTATGCACGGTGGCAGTTGTGGCACTTGAAAGGTTTGTCTTTGTTGTGCTGCCGTCTGTGGGACTGGGGAATGGCAGCAGGGCAGAGGAAAGAGAAAGCAAGTGCAGAGAAAGAGGTGAATATTAACACTGGAGATTGCTTTACCTCTAACACTCCCTTCCAACCAGGCTCCAAGTCCCCCAGGACCCAGTATGCTGAGCTAGGTACACCCAGCTCCTAGCACAGAACGTGGTACTTTCCACTCCAGCCCACTGTGTCTTCCCCACAAATTCTTTATCAGCCCTTCTACACATTTGAAAGCAGTCTCCTAACTCTCCGCAGCATCCATCTTCTCAGTCTCAATGCAATTCTTTCAATCTTTTCCTGCCTTTCTTCTCTCCTGCCTCTCTTCACACTGACTCCCACTGTCAAAGCAAGATCTTCCTTAACTGATCGCTGGCATTTTGCTATTTGGCATTTTTCACTCTTCCCTTCCTCCTCAATACTGCAACAGGACATATTACTTTTGCTTCCCTAAATCTCTAGTCTTACACTAATTCCACTGTAAAACAAACAACAACAAAAATATCAGATAGTGAGATTTTATTCCACTCATAACATTTAGAAAATTTATTGCCCCAGCTATGTTAGAAAACTACGGAACAGATGGGAAGAATGTTACTAAGGTCTCGCCACATTCTAGTCAAGCTCATAATTTTACAGGATGCAACTGTTTTTGGGACTTACTTGGGTCACTAGAGCCACAAAAGCCATGAATCTCTTCCCTACTCAGCACTTCAATAGTATTTCTGTACTCTTTCACTCTCCTCCCAGCTACCCCAATTTCTCCACCTCCTCCCGCTTGACAGCTGTATTTGCCACCCACACTGTTGAGCAGGGCATGCCCAGCCTCTTACCTGCAGGTTGGAAAGCTGCGTGAAAGCCTTTTCACAACCAGGGTGAGCGCATTTGTAGGGTCGGTCCCCAGTGTGGATACTGTCAAGGAGGAAGAGCACAAATGGGAAGCAGTGAACAGACAGGCAAGGCGGACTGCCAGGGCCTGATGCTATGATCAAATCTCACAGCCACTCAGGAGAGCAAGGGTACGGATGATGCTGCCTCCAGCTGCTGTTCTATCTGGACAAAGAGAGCTCTGCCCAGCTCCTGTGTCCAGCTAGAAGTTAGAAAGTACATGCAGACAAGCAGAGTTCAGAATGTCACTAGGACTGAGGAGTAAGACTTTATGAATGGGTGGCTGGCTTGGCATGTGGGCCACCTAAAAATGGGTGGTTAGGAGTCTGGGGGCCCAGGCTCCCTGCCTCAAGCTCAGGAGAACCAAGAGGAATCCATTCTCCTGCTTCCACAGTATCAAGAAAGTAGCTCTGCTCCTTCTCAGGATACACACTCCAAAAGTTCTCCCCTTATGTTATCAGGGAAATGTGTTCATGCCCCTGTCCCCCTGCAATGCCAGGACAAGCTTCCACACACTCAGTCCAACCCCCGAAGAGCCGGGCTGGGATCCCCTATGGCCAATGCCTCTCACTCTATTGCTCTCTCTCTGTACCCCCCGCGGTGCCAGACCAAGGATCCCCAGGGATAGCACATGCCCGCTTCTGCCCTGCCGTGGTCAGCGTCTCCTGCGCAGTGTCCATTCCGTCCACTCTGCTGGGCCACCTCCTCCTGTGTGTGCAGCCGGTCGCGTCCCCCGCCCGCCCCCCGCATGCTTGGCGCGCGTGTGCTCCACAGGTGCATGCCGGCAGCGCGGGGGGGCCAGGGCCAGGCCCCCAGCCTCCTCTGGCCCTTACCGTGTGTGCTGCTGCAGGTGGGAGAGCTGGCGGAAGGCCTTCTGGCAGTAGCGGCAGGTGTAGGGCTTGGCCCCCGAGTGGATGCGGAGGTGCTGGGCCAGGTAGGATGTGTTGGCGAAGCTCTTGGAGCAGTGAGGACACTTGTGCGGCTTGACAATCGCCGTGTGGAGCTTGGAGTGGATCCTGCCGAAGAGGAGGAGGAGCAGCAGCAGTTGGACACGACCGCCATCTGGCTAGTGCTGACGGAATGAGGGCACAAAGGGGGTGGGACAGCACCACTATCTGCTACACAGAGGAACTCCAATATGGCATGAGCTCACTCAGCCTCAAACCGTGCTCCCCTTGGATTCAAGAGCCTGTGGTCTGTCCGCACCGGGGGAGGATCCAGAGAGAGAAACTATAGAGTTTGGACTGAGGGGCATTGGCAGAGCTGTGTGTGGAAAGCCTATGGCTGAAATAACAGGGGGCTGCAAGCGTGGACTGAGTTGTTTGGCAGAACTATGCTGGGGTGACAGGGAACAGATCTTCTATGTGTCCTTTACTCTAGTGCTGGCAAAACCAGCCCTACCTTTTGTCAGATGACGTTGTTCCATTGCAGACACCCCTCAGAGTAAGTAACATTAACCTCTGCGCACACCCAGCCCCTCACAGCAAGCAACAGGTCTTAACGTGTCAGATACCACGACTGCTGGTTGGTTGTGTCTGAGACGTGACCAGCCCACAGAAATCAGCAAGGCCTCCCCGAGTAGTCACCCACGGAGGGTGCCCACTCACAGCATGCTGGGATGACAGCAACATGCAGTGCTGAAGGCCCCCAGCCTCCTCTGGCCCTTACCGTGTGTGCTGCTGCAGGTGGGAGAGCTGGCGGAAGGCCTTCTGGCAGTAGCTGCATGTGTAGGGCTTGGCCCCTGAGTGGATGCGAATGTGCTGGGCCAGGTAGGAGCTGTTGGCGAAGCTCTTGGAGCAGTGAGGACACTTGTGTGGCTTTGTCTCCGTATGGGACTTGGAGTGGATCTGCATCTCCGACTTGGAGTAGAAGGTCAGCGAACACATCCGGCACCTGGGACCGGGGTGAGGGGAAGAGACAGTGTCATATGGGGGCAAGCCCCAATATCTATCAACTCTAACTGGAAGGGCTCATCCACACTGAGTGAATATGGGATATTTTCTTACTATGAGGTTCTGGGGAGGTTTCACCTGGGACATTGTGCTCAGCTGCAAGTGCTCCAGTCCCAGAGGAACAATCTTAAGCTAGGAACTGGCAGAAGAGACCAAACTATACTTCGCAGCCATACAAGTGAAGGTCTTGGGAGAATCAAAGAGATTAATTTATTGCGCTTACAAGGAAGACAGGGCAGCACTTTGGAAGTTTTTCTACAGCAATCTGAAGGGGACAGGAACAACAACTCCCAGACAAAAAACATTTTGTTCATCTATTATTTATTTCAGCCAAAAAAGTTGGAAAACCTGAAAATCCCAGGTTAACGTTCATCCTCATTATAAAAGTTAATTCCATGTACTGCAAAGTCTGCAAAAGCAGTTATGACAAAACCATTTAATTCTGCTCCCATTTTTGGAGAAGACATGTTTACGAAGACAATGCTGGAAGTAACAACAGTGCTGCCTTCCTAGTGAGTCTCAAAAGATGTTCTGCATACCAGATCGGATATTTCACTGGTCTAATTGGCTTTCACCGTTTCTATCTCAGTGATGTTTTGAAATGTTTTGTCTGGGAGTTTGGACCCATCTGTTCCCACAATGATCAGAAGCATGTTTGATAACACAGACTCTTTGAACAGGGAGAAGCAGTGGGCAACTATCTCCAATGGATGCTGATGTTAAAAAACATTCCTCCACCATAATACCAGGTTAAGAGAAGATTGTACTTTTATAAAATTAAAGGTGGTAAAAGAGTTTGTGGTTAATAAAGTGACAGAGAGCTAGAGACTACATCCAAGTTACTGAAGGTTATCATCTTCCCACAGAAGTGCACGCCAACAAGTGGCAGACTTAAGGTTTCTCTGAACTAAAAGTTTTTCCACTTGCAGACTTCTCAATTAAACAAGACAAAATGGAACCTGCACTTGGAACTTCCAGGGTCACACCCGAGGGAAAAATTCCACCTACAAGACCTCTGTTCAACCTGTTGTGCTGTGTTAATTATGTTTTGTGCCTGGGAATTTCCTTAAGTTTTACAAGCATTTGAGAAATTGCTCAGTGACAAAAGTCTCTGCAGTTATTACAAACAACAGAGAGCTTATCCTGCTCCTTCCTACATTCAAGTGTTTCTCTTCCTCCTAGGAGAATACTTCATTACATTTACTACAATGGCTATTTATTTTGGAGCCAGAAGCCTTTATGAAGCATGTGGTCTAATTAGCACACGTAATGCAGGCAATATTTATCCAGAACCTACCTTCACTTCCACAGGCCCTTCCAAGCCACAGCTTGATTTTGAGCCATTTAACTGGAAGCCATGCTTCCCCAACGAGAACTCTACCACACATATGCCATTTTTCTTATATATCACCGTTCCTTTGAATTCCTTATCATCTCTAACAGTTGTTTCCACATTTTCTGCCTTCATCTTTCTCTTACGTCCTTCTAACTGCACAACTGAAAACACCACATATAAGAATGTGTTTAACCTATAATTCCTCCCTCACACACACACAACCATCCTTTCTAGCATCAACAAATAGAAGCAATCTGTTTATCCCTAGGTCTATTTGAGATGCAAGGAGCAAGAAAGAACATCAAGATCACCTTTTAGAAAAAGCAGGTTTTGGTTTACAAACCCTCTCTCTCTCTAAACACTTGTCCAGTTTGCTCTAGACTTTATGAAAAATTTAAAGCTACACTTGAAGACAGCATAGGCACTCCACAATTTTAGTCATATTTAGAGAATGAGAATTGTATTCCTGAAAGTAGCAATGCTAAAAGGAACTTTAAAGTGAACACTGAACTGAAAAGTATCTCCAAGTCCAGTGCCCTGCTAATGCAAGGAATTAAGCCATAACCCCCATAACAAGAAACAGGATCATTTCAACCATGAGAATAATACATCTTTGGAACAACATTCAGAGGCTGTATTATGTTCTCAATCACTTGGCTCCTACAATGACTGGCTTTAGAATTCAGCTACCTGTCCAAGTGTACTACTTTTCTAGACATGTAGCTCTAGTGTACATGCAGTCCTGGGAACTGTTATCTTCTCTGCTGTATATGACCATATATTTTAAACATCCCATTCTTTTTTGAAAAAAACTAATGAACTTTACTATGTCTAAGCACTCCCACCCATTAAGTATCTAATGACAATAAAGCCATCTAGTTTATTGTCCAAAACATCTGCGCAGCAATTTCGTTACTTCTTTGCTTTGTCAGGTATCTGCCTTCAGGTCAGAAATTCCCTAGAATAAACTTTGATGCAGAGAAACAATGTTCTTCTCCATTCTGACAAAAATCTCCCTGGAACCTGCATAAGAATGGAAGATAAATCTCAATGCGAGGAAAAACAGCAAAACCAAGAGACCCCACACCCACATACAAAACAAACAAAAAACCCTCCAAACCTCAGAAGATAAAACAACAACAACAACCACCAACCTCACTTGTCTGCATTAGCAGTTGCAGAGGTCTCCAAATTGTTTTTAAAACAATATGAAAATATATTTCATATATATGGACTCATTTTCCAATAATCCAACTAGCATCAGCTGAGAGAGGGCAAGAATGTTATGTAGCATTAACAAATTCATCAGCCTTACGAGTTGAAAAGGCCCTGGAATAGAGCAGACAGCTGCATTTTAGAGTTCTGCATTATGCGGTTGCAGGCATTTTCATGGGAACAAGCGATCTATTTAATTAACAGCTTTGCATTTTGCCTCAGACTACATCTAATATTAAAGGGGAGGATGCAGTCAGTCCTCTGGTGGGGAAATATGGATTCAAAAAAATGTTTAAATCCATATGGCTAATGAGGACATCGCACCTGACAATTGCAGTGTTTCAGTATTCTATTTCATTGAAATTCCCCTTGCTGGGAAAAGTAGGGAGTGCTGTTTGCTAAGCACGGACACGGCGCTACATGAAATAAGTCATCTTTTTTGTTAATATGCATTTTTAACCTTTTCTCCCCATTGTGCTTCTGGACTACTACTACTACACTGCATTCTGAAAGCAAGTAACAGGAATGAATGCAGTATTCCCATTGAGAGTGTAACAAAATATCCTATGACTGTTTGTCATGGCTCTGCAAATTTAGCCTCGGAGAATAAACTCTTAATAATGCAGAGGTGCACTTCTCCATATAAATAGTTTTATATTCATCAGTATACTAGGGAACAGAAGTAACACCTCACAATGTTTCTGATCTTTTCTTTTTATAGGGAATCTACAGAAATAAAGTGAGATAAAAAAAATATGTGCATGGTAAGACTAACACCCTCAAAAAAAAAATCATGAAATGCCAGTAAAAGTTGGATACATAATTCTAATTCTGCTCCCATATGAAAGTCATCATGATGAGTCACAAACAAAATTACGCCTATAGGAGCTAGACTACAACTCTGAGGCACACAGTGCCATGTTTTTGCTTCTTCTCATAGAATGTTTCGCCTCATTCATCAGATGCTGTTATGAGATAAAATACCATCTGAAATATCATCTCATAGTAAAATCTGCCTACCATGAATTAACAGCATTTTTCAATCAAGTGATTAATTAATTGGTATCACAGTTGTGAAAACTGTAAGCTTTTACATGACTTTCAGAATTCAATTTCCTATTGAGATTCATCTTCAAATTTAACTGAGCCCTTGCTCTTTCTGCTAGACTTCAAATACACCATCACAAGTTAAAAATAATAATAACTTAAAACAACAGATCAGAAAGGTCAGAAGTTAAACTAGTTAAGTTTAGGCTTCCTGAGCCAACAGATATTTAGTAAGGAAAGAAATTTACTGCCTTTGCAATGCAGAGTTAATGAAGTAACTAATGCAATCATTGCATAATAATGGATGCACAGTGCATAAGAAATGCTGATTTAACCTTCAAATTATCCCATATTTTAAAGCAAATTAAACATTTCCTCACTAATATTTTGTAAGAGGCAAGGGGAAGGAGATAAAATATTTAAGATACAAGGCTAGAGAACTTGCATAAGACCTAAATAAAAGTATATGAATGCCAAATGCAAGCTTGCAAAATTGTACTCCTGCGTCCATTTGCCAATTTACACTATTGACATGCATGCTATCAAGTCTGCTAATTACACAGAGATCTTCATAGACTTATTTCCACAGACCCTCCCTTGCTTGGTATCATGGTAAGACTACAGAAAACAAACATGCACCATTGTCCTGGCAAAGCAGTGACTATTTTTAAATGCTCTCATCATATAGCATTTCTCCAGTCCTCAGAGGTGATTCCTGCATTCTGTCAATATTTCCAAATGATCTTAGAAAAAAAAATGTCAGACCCAGAATTATGCAGCATTTCAGTGTGCTTCACAAATTGCCTGTCTTCCTTTAAATACCTTGTTATTTATTCTTTCAGCAACTGCATTTACCATCTTCTGTCAGAGCCTCACCCTGGGAACTCACATGATGTCATTTAATTTCTAGAAGTCTTCTGCACTGCTTTCCAGGACACTGTTTCCCCATTACTTACATAACTTATTCTTTAGATTAAAGATGTTCAACTGCAGCCAATAGGACACTTCCTAGAATCACTTAGTGTTCCGAGTTGGAATGGACCCACCAGAAGGATCTTCGAGTCCAGCTCCTGACTCCAATTCTATCCAGGCCTACATTATTGTTTTAAATAGTGCCTGAGCATCTAGGTCTCAATCCCTAACTCTGCTGGAGAAGCCAGGCTGTATTAACCAAGAAACTAAGCCTTACATGGGGCTGTACTAAAACCACATTTTGCTTGAGCAGCTCAAGTTTAACAGCCACATAAAACTTAGCCTTTAAAACAACAACAACACCCACAATTATCTACCAGCAATTGCTTCTATCTGTAAACTGTCAAAAGATTTTCTGTTGACCTCTGAAACCACTGAACGACATCAGGCTTAAGACCTCTATCGATTTCTGAAATCAGTAACCATTAGAATAAACAACTAGCAAAGCAATAAAATACGATAAGGTATTTCCTACGAACATGATAATACCCAATGCTAAATTGAAAAAAAAAAACAAAAGCCCCATAAGAAACACTAATAAATTTAGAACCAGAAGTAAGGTCATCTGTGTCAACAAAATTTGGCTCTGCAGTGCAGCCACATATTCTGATACAGCTTTATCGACCGCTTCAACAGAACTGCATCCTTATTATGTTGCACAGATAGATACTTAACAAGCAAGTGGTCGGGATTCTTCATAACCACTGTGATGCATACAGCATCAGACTTGTCAAGCGAGTGCAATTCCAATCTCAGAAGGCAAAATCACTCCTCTGTTGGAGCCACACAGAAGTATCAGCGTTCCACACTCATCTGTCCCCACAGCATCCATTTCTTTTTTCCTAACAGTAGGAAGTGACAAAAGACAGGAATGAAAAAAAAAAACAACTAGTAAGATATACCCACTAACTCTGAGTGGCTAACCCAATATCTGCAAACGTTGATTTTCCTTTAAAGGAACTTGACAGTACATACATTTAAATCACTGCCCCTATAAGACTTCTGCACTGTAGCTGTAAGATACTATGCTTGTGTAAAGCTAAAAAGGATGCAACATGTAACAGAGGACTATTCAATGATACTTGGCAAGGGATTATGGTTTTGGGAACACCAGATGTGACCTAACTTGTGTTTGCACTGTGTGGCCTGAACCACGACTTAAGATACACTATTAAAACCGTACCAAACAGCCTACAGGTTCTTCACATTAGCAGTCAATTGCCTTCCTCAAGTCATCCTTATCCTTCTCAACTCCACAACCCCATGCCATTTCAATTTTTATACTGGTCCTAAGTAAATTTTCTGGACTCTGACAGGCTATCAAGTACACTATAACTGTAAACACATAAACAAAGATGGGACAAAAGTGCATTGACTCAATGGGGTCAAATTAAGGTGTGACCACACAGACAGATGTGAGACATAAGAGATTTGATGCTCTCTCTCTCCAGCTGAAACAGTTACTGACTCCCTCATTCCCTTGCACACACTGACAAGCAAGTAAAATGCACTAAAATTAAAACTCGTGACTTCCTGTTCTTTTTACTTTGCACTATGATGAACTACAATGAGAACACACGTGCACATGCAAACATGTAGTTAAAACACCATAATAGAAGGGAGAGAACTTACCATAATCCAGGTTTTCTCCTTATTATATCCCGAGACACACGGTCAGTCTTAACTACCATTTCTAACCTTCTGACACAGTACTCATATACAAAGCAAAGCTTACAAACAGTGTGTATATAAAGAAGTACATGTGCACCTGTCCTCCTTAGAACTTTGAAAGTATAAGCCAATTTTAACCAAATCCGAAAAAGGGGTAAGAATTTTAAAATCACAACAAGCGTCACAAAAATATGCAGCTGCAAAAGATAAGAGACCCTCTTGGAGCCCCCTGCTGAGGGAAAGGCTAGTGAGCTCACCCTTGATTAGACATCAGAGAATCCACACAGGAGAGAGCCGCTGGAAACCAGGCTTCATTAGTTCCGCTGCTCACGGAACTACTTGTTAAAAAAAGCAAACAGAAATTCCAACATGTGGCATCACACTGACACCCACATTGGTCAACAGCAATCTTAAGAACCTCTGCACAGATTCTGCCACCACAGCTAGGACAATAAATGATATTAATAGCAGTTTGTTGTCTTTTTCTAGCATTGGAGGGGGGTGAGGCTCTTTGCCAGAGGAGGTTATATACTAACTAGTGCTGACAGCAGAAACGTGGCAAAATTTAGGAATGCTGGATTTAATATTTCTAGGCTTTGGAGGGAATGTGGTCAAACTTCCTGCCCCATACTTCAATCTCTATTTCTCCTTTGCCTGTAGCCTTCCATCCTGTTGCAATCCCGTCTCTCCTGCACCAAGACCCAGCCCCAGGCTCTTTTCCCATATGCCCCAGCCTCCTCATCCTCAGTTGCCAGTAACTCTCCCCTGTTCATTAACATTTATCTCCTCTCCCTCACACTTCTACTTGTCTGTTCACATCCCATGCTCTTTTCCCCATCTGTTCTGTTAATCTGAGGTACCTCCTTCATTTTCCAGCTCCTCGCAGATCTGCCTCTTTCTTCCTGTTTCAGTCTTGACCCCCCTAGCTTTTCTATAACCTTGCAAATAGGCTCTCCATCACATCCTCTACTTTGTGAGGCTCTTTCCTCTCTCCTCCTTCCTTTCAGAGATTGCCATCTCTGCCTGATCAAGCTTCCAGACTTCAATCAGCTCCAAGCCCTAGCCCTATCTTACTCTTGTCTCCACCGCGTTTGAATCAAGCACTGCCTTCTTTTACCTTGCCATTGCACCTGCAAGAGGGGAAGGCTCCTGCCAACACTGAGCACAAAAATTCCCTTCTGAAGCAGAATGAGGGCCATGACTGAAGGAAAAGCAAGCTTGGCTCTTCAGCACTAATCTAGAAGACGCTTATCACAGTATAGAGAGCACACACTTAGTACAGCCTCATATAAACACAGAGAGGTCAGAGCCTATTTAGTTCTTCTGGGGAGACAAACAGTCTGGTCAGGGCCTGGATTTATGCAAACCTCAAATACCAACAAAGATGATACAATAATCTTTGCGTATTTCAACTACTAAAGTACACAGCATCTCAGAGCATGCTTAACCGATCATTTTCAAAATTTACAACTTGACCAAATTTCCAGGCAGACACGGCTTATGAAAGCCATTACCATCAGATTTCAAATCTATTAAAAAACAACAGCAAAATCATCACCACAGGGGAAGGTCAAACAGCAACACTAAATTCAGTGTAGGGCCAAAAAAAAAAAAGGGGCTGAAAAAAAGGACATGCCCACCACCTGTTGTATTCAAGCCACTGGGCTCCCCTTACTTCCATCCCTTATTTCCATCATCCAGATTTTTCCCCTTTCACAGCTTGTCTCTGCTTCTTGCCAAGACTTCTAAGGCTTCTGCACATTTTTTCTCCCTAGACACACTTCAGAAGCTTATGTCTCTTAGCTGGTTATTGTCTCCCAAGCTAAAACTCCCTCCAGCCCAGAGAAAGTAAGGAAACTTACCAATGAAGGCAGGAAACAGAAAGCTCTATGACTACAGTGTAACAGCAAGGTTCTTCTCATGCCTACAACTTTTCTACACTATCCTTTGCTCAAAAGCAGAGCCTACAAAACCATCCCAGACAAAAAACTTAATATATTGTGTTAGTGCTGATAAAGAGGTTCCTTCCTCCAGTAAATGCAAGACCAAACTATTCAGAGAACTGTTTGACAGAGAAAACTGACGATCTGAACCAGAGAGACTGAACCATTTCAACCACCTTGTCTACACATCACACCAGAAGCTTTAAGAAGTGCATTTGAACACACACCAAAACAGTACTGAGAAATACCGCTGTCTCCAGAATCTATGCCCTTTCTTCCTCAGTACCTTTTAAAGTTCTGATTAGAAATCATGTGCTTCACACACTGACAGCATCTTAGTAGAAACACTCTTGATGCTGATCTCTTTTTCCGCAGGAGAAAAAAGTAAATTCTACCATGATGTCAGGAGATATTAATGAAGAACTGACAATGAATCCAGACAAGTCTGAAATGACATTATTCATGATGGAAAATGCTTCACAGAACTGGTTTAGATGCTTGTCCCCTGCAGGTACAAGCCTCTTCTAATATCACAAAGCAGAACAAGGACTCTTGCCAGACTAATCCTTAGGCTAGATGTGCAAGATCTGCAAGCAACAGCATCATCAGTAAAAGCCTCACGCCTTCTCTTACCGAGAAAAACCTAGTGGTAAAAGATGGTTGCATCAATGCCACAGCAGTCTAACCCACTTCTAGTGATGGCAGCAAAACATCTGCTATTTGCTGGGGCAGGAATCGCTACATTCAATGGGCTGATCTGCGATACTTGTATCATCTTTGTGCCACAATCCCTTTAAGGCCTGCCAGCTGTACTGCTCATTCAAGGCCTCGATCCTTCTTCACAATATGCCAGGAGTCAAGAATTAGGGAAATTAGCCACCAGCCCAGACACCCATGACAAAAGAACTCATGAAGATAAAAAAAAAAAAAAAAAAAAAAAAAAAAAAAACCACCACAAAAGTAGTCAGACTGATCAATATAGTACAACTCCTTCCAGGCATCTGACTAGACTGTCCTTAGTGTATCAGGATGAGTCAATGAAATCACACAAATGCCTGCACGTACACCACAAGCAACTCCTTCAGCCCAGAAGGGATCACGTTCAGAAAAACCTCCCATGTAATCCTAAACTAGCTAGGATATGTCTGCGCACTACAGTAACGGCAACTACCCAAATCATTATCACCTAGAACAGTGAAGGAACCCATGAGTTCTCAAGTTTTAACCTACGGATGTTATATACAAACATCTTCCCACAGCTACAAGAGCACTCATTGTCCTTTATATTTAACAATTCTTTTTAGTTCCAGACTTGCACGTGGAAAGCATCAGACAAAGAAGAGACCCCTTGGTGGGCTTCAATAAATCTCAATTTGGCTATCTTGCACTTTAATACTGCTCAGAGGAAGTTTGTCTTCGAATGGGAACTGGAAGAAGAGACAGAGGCGGACTAAACGTGAAGACGTGAAATATTCCTGGTTACATGTTTCCTACATATAAACCTATTTGTGTGGGTTTCTTTTTTACTGCAAAGTCTTTTTCATGATCAGTTACAGATACTATGGGCGTTCATAAAGTTTCTGCTGAGTCACTCCACATGGGCATTGGCATTTTTTTTCCAAACTTCCATGTAAACAAGGAGCTATAATTAAAGCTTTGGTTCAGCTTTAATTCTAACGTTCACTGCCAATTGTGTCCCCTGTAAATACATATCTAACAACCTAATTAGCAACCCAGACTGTAAGCAGCTTGAGTAGTGTGGAATTGTGGCTAGGGCCCAAAATAAATGGTGGACTTAAAAATAGCAAGCTACCTAACACTCCCACCCCTCTTCACCATACGCTGATTGTATTTTCAAAGTGGAAAAACTGGGACATTGGGTAAGGGAATAAAAGGACTATTCCAAGCTCTAGTTTTGCAGCCATTTGACTGTATCGATTTAAAAACGTAAGCATTTTAAAAACACTGCAGTTAAAAATGAAACAAGAGTCTGGGATGGATGCATAGATTCTGTGGAGGTGCCTTCATACTCATGACTTACTTCCAGAAACATAACTAAACTGGTACAAAAAAGGAAAGAAAAAAAAAAAAAAGAGGTAAAAGGGAAACTGAGAAGGATTCATGGACACATAGCAGGGAAGTGAGATGAGCTACGAATCATATACCTCTGCTTTGACTCACTGACCTTAACCAGCCCTCAGAACCTCAGAAACACACATCACTAAATACCCATACCGGCTCCTTGCTTCCCAACCAACACTGACCATCACATCCCCACCCTAGCACTCATCTGCTGTGTCCAGCTGCCACGTTCTCAAAAATGCTGCGCTCCTTATTACCCTCTGCTTTAAGTACTTCCTCCTAGTTAACCTCTCTCCCTTTCCCAGCACTCACTTGTGCAAGCTCCTTAAGCCACATCCCTCCAAGCTCAGAAACCCAACCTCAAGGCTCAGAACGCTCTCCCCTCCCATCGAGAAACTTTTGGGCTCAGTAACACCCTTACATCTAATTCAGAACAGAACTTTTTTCCTGTTTTGTTGGGAATGTTGAAACAGTAAGACAGCACATGGGGCAGGGCACACAGGAACAGATGCTATCACCACAATTCACTTCCAGCTGTGTTCCTCCACTATGGAGAATTTATACTGGACAGATCGGAGTCCTCATTCAGGGGCATTCAGGTACACTAGGACTCTCAACCACACCAGAAGTGCTGCAGGTGCACCAGACAGTACTGCACTCTGCAGTATGCCAGCCATAGCACCCAACTGCAGCATCAAGGATATGGCTCAGCCTGTGAAGGAGCTAATATTAACTAACCGAGCAATGCTAACATTCTTATGTTTAGAAAATGGAGGTCGTTCACTACAAAGAAGATGCTTAGTTTGGGGTCAATCTACCAGCTTGCAAACATTCCGAATTATCAAGAAAACTCAACCCTCTCTGCAGCTAAGAGTTTCACTATTCAGGGACTCTACAAGGAAGAGGCAAAGATCTCTCCCACCCCCACGTAACCCTCCAAAGAGCTGAATATACCCCCAACCCCATGCAATGTAACAATCACGGTTTAAGCCTGCTCCCCACCTGTATGTCTTGCCATCCTTGTGCTGGTCCTCATCATCCTCGTTTGATAGCACAAAGGGGTCGCTCATCTCTGGCAGCCCCGATTCCTGCAATCGTTTCTTCTTCCGGCCCCGAGGCGGTTTGGGGGCAACTCCCCCCCCCCCCCCCCACCCCCCCACCTTCGGAGAGGGTGGTTGTCCCCTTCTTGGTCAGGTCAGGCACCACCTGGAGGGCTGCCTGGGAGCCAGGGGGTAGTGCAGAGACGATCATGGGAGCTGAGATGGGAAAGGTTTGTGCAGAGGAGGCTGTAGTCACCAGGGAGCCTGATGGAGAAGTTATCACGAGACCAGGACCTGAAAACAAAGATGCAGGTCAAGCATTACCCTTCTAATGATCTCCTCATCTCACAGAAGTAAGGTTTATACATCTACATTTAAAACAGAAGAGCAGCTTAACATCTCCAAAACATTCTCAGTCTTCACAGCTAGAAGTCAAACATCAGCACAGAGGCTAGATGAATAGACTTCCCAGAGATTCACAGTGAAACAACGCTTAGAGGCAAGGCAGTCTACACCATCAAAAATGCTCAGGATAATCTATAGTCCCAAGAGGATTCTCCAGAATCCTGCACTACACACATCCTGGCATCTTCCTGTTGCAGAGTTCCCTACCTGCTGTCATGAGCCCAGCAGACTGCACTGGCACCACAGTGATGTTCTGAGTCACAGGGGCTTGGCTGTGTGGTGTCAGCTGCTCCGGCTTGGTGTCAGAGTCCATTGCAATGCCAGTGGGAAGGGCCACTGAGGTGGGCACTGTCAGCAAGGCAGGGTAGTGGGGGGGAGCAAGGCTGCAGCCCTTCTCTGTGGGCAATAGCTGCTCCTTCATCTTGTTAATAAACATGGTGTTGTCAATCTAAACAGGTGGGAAGAACAGCTTTTAGAATATTGCAGTACAGCCTCTTCCAGCAGTTGGCTGAGCAAGAAAAGCAACAGAAACATGCATCATTCACAAACTTCTAACGTGAAGCAACATCAGCAAAATGGGTTGAAAGACAAAGATCTTACCTGTCCCGAAACCGTGGGCACTGCTGGCCAGAAGTACGGAGAGGAGTTGAAATGAGATTCTTCCATCCTAGCTGGGCACAGGGGGGAACAGGAAGGGGGAAGGGAAGAGGAATGGAGAAAAAGGAAGACAGAGACAGACGCACACACACACACACACACACAGAAAAGGAATATTAAACCCAAAATGACTCCAATAGGGAACTGCCTCAGTCTAATGCTGTGACAGTTCCTTAATCTCCCCTTTCTCATTTAAGCAGTCACTCCCCACTTTTGAGCTATCTACCCAAATCCTGTTACTTTCAGGGAAAAAGTTATCTGCTATTCCCACAGACTTAGGCCCATACCTCTTGCCTAGTAGTCCTCCATGCAAAATAAAATTAACAATGATTACACCTGACCCAAAACACCTCTAATATTCCCCAACTACCATCCACCCAAGTATATGGCATAAAAGATCAAGTCTGTGCACGTGCAACCTGGCAAATACAGCTGAAAGCCATTTTTCACCGTCACAACCATCCTGACCCCAAAAGCAGTGAAAGTTCTGGACCCTGCCTGTCCCTCCACCCCAGTTCACTAAGGATCCAGATGCAGCAAGGGCACATTAGCAGCATGTTGTACAGGAAGAAGGACAGGCAGAGAGAGGGAAACAGACTTGTCCAAGATAACAGACAGCCACAGAAGACCAAGCAGTAAAACTCAAGGCTCCTAACTTCCCGCAGCCCTCTGCTCTGACCACTCCAGCCCCACTCTTATGAGAAAGCCAGAAATGTCACTCAATCCTGACAGACAAGATCCACCTCTTTCATCCAGCAAGACAACAGAGCAGGGAAACAACCTGGCTGCCCTGCTCTTGAGGTATCGAGGTATTCCCAAGAGGTACCACGTCAAGCTCTCTGTTGCCTGTTGCAGTCCTGTCTCCAGGACAAGAATCAGTAGGATTCTGCCCTCAGTCTAGTGCCCACTGCTCAATCTCAGCTCTCCATGGACAAGTCAGACACCAGAAGATAGTCCTCTGAGGACAGAGGCTTAATCTCTTTAGGATCACCTAGCTGAAAGAATCTATTTTACTGTTCTTTCTATTCTAATCCTGTCATTCCTCTGTGTAATATCATTATCAAGAGCAATTTGCAATGCTCTGTAGATGCTATTGAAAAACTAAGAGATCCACAAAACAGTATTTTCTGGAGTAGATGTACCTGTTTCTGAACAAATATGGCAAAATCGGCAGGCAAAATAAATGCAATAAAAACTGTGCTCAGTGAACATTACATCTGGCACAGCAAGCTGTTTAGATAAAGCAAACACTACAGGTTTGCAGCTATCTGCAAATCGTACCAGTCCTATTTCTGTTATGATGTGGCAGTAGACTAATTAACAAGTAAATATTGTTTCTGAAGGACCTATCTCAGTCATCAGATAAGCTAAGGAACATGCCCCAAGAAGCATGAAACATTTTCCAGAAGCACATTAGGACAGAATAAATACATGTGGAATTACTGCGTATGAGCCAAAACGCAGAGATAATTTTCCTCTACATAGAGAAGCAGTATTTAAATGAACCAAATTACCTGTTAATTTTGTTTTTATGAATTGCTCATGCAACAGCAAAGCCAAGTATTCCTGCCTCACTCACTCACTACAAATCAACCAATAAACACACTTAGGAATGATTTATTTACCTTGCATCAGTGGCATGCAGACACACTGCTAGCTGCCTGACTGAATTACTCTGGATTTACATTGCAGCAATTCAATCAGAATCCAATGGGGCACATATCTTTCCTTTGCTTCTTTTACTGAAATTAATTACGTATTCTGTCAACAACAAGGCTCTATGTACATAACACCCAACTACACAACTGTTTGCTTCCACAGAAAGAAAAAATACATGTAGAGGATAAGGCCTTCCTTGGCAACTGAGCGCCACCTGAATCAAGAAGGTTTTTTTTGGCTGGAATGTAAAGGAGCTTCGTTGTTGTTGTTTTAAATCAGTAAGCTCCTATTTGCTCAGCTAAAGAAAAAAAAAAAAGCCAACCCTAAGCAATCCTGATTACGTAAAAACAAAGTCTCATAAAGTAATCACATACATTTTTTTTTAAATAAACTTGGTAATTGTCAAGTCTTGAATCCCTCAGACTCAACCGTAAACTTCAGCAGTAAAATGCAAGGACATCAATTTCAAGAAAAACCTCACAGCAACTTTCTTACTTAAGGAGCATAAAGCACAAAAGGCACCTCCATCTTCAGACTGTAAAATCCAAATGAGCACAGACGGGTGGCACGCAGTGGCCTCCTGTTTCTATCTAGTTCCTGCCAGACCTTCGCAAAGCACCCATCTTTTGTTTGCTTATTTACAAAATGTTTCAGTTTAAAACCAAAACAAACAAAAAAGCCCACACACCAAGAAAAAAAAAAAAAGCAACAAAACAACACAAAAACGAACCAAAGAACCAAAGAAGTTCTCAATGATTCTCAAAAGGTGACTATGCTGTTTTCACTAAACTCTCTAACAATCCTTCTTCCCATCCAGCAGTGTTTATGCTTGAGCAGCTATTGGACTCAAAAGACTTGGCTGAGATGTAATGAAGTTACAAGAATGTGAAGAAAAAGGAGAAACAGTGTAAGAGTCAAAGCTGTCATGCAGTCTCACTAGCAAGCCAATCTTCCAAAGAGAAAACAAAGATAAGATTCCTCTACCAAACTACCATTCTAGTACCCACAGATGTCCCTCCCCTATCCCACTTTTAAGCTAAAGGACATTTTGAAAACATGCACCCCTATTCATAGCCCCCACTTTAACACCACTCACACTTACTTTACCAGAACTCTGCACGCAACCCTTCCAATTGCTCTATAACTATCCCACATGGGCTGGAGCTTCAACCCTGTACCACAGCACGTTCCCACTGCAGTGCCTTCATCATCCCAGCTTCCACAAACGGGCCAGAGATGGGACCTTCTTCCTATTCACCAGTCTAGTATCAGACAGATGTCAATGTACCCTCCTGATATAAACCAAAAACACCTTCTGTGTACAAGCCACAAATGTACATGCACCAAATAAACAACTGAGTGAACCAGAGAACTCACAAGGGACAAGGAAACTGAAGTTTATATCTCAGAGAACTTCACAAAGTCACATACTTAATGGGCTGGGCTTATACTTCTTTGCAGGTCATCACTTTTAATCACAAACACACAGATAAAAAGCACGTGCAAGTAAACGGTGAGGCAGAGGCTGTGTTTCTGGAAGGTATAATCAAGGTTGGATATGCAGATATTTAGAGATTGACTTTAATGTAGTTTCCTTTATTCTCCAGATACTCAGCATTTATTTATACGTAGCGTAGAGCTTTCATCTGACAAAACAATTATTGAAATTGTCATTCTGTGTCTGCCCAATACCTTTGGCCAGTAAGAGTGAGCTTTTGGGCTCAACTACTGCAAAATGCTATAGATGCTGAAGGCCACACAGGATATGGGACCAAATGCCAAAGTGCCTCCCCTAAGCTCCTCAGTACCAACAAGTTCAAGCACTGCTATGCCTTTAGAACAAGCACATGCAGATGTACATCAAGAACACCCCAAAGAGAACGGGCAAACCCTGAGTCCCAGGCCCCCAGCCCACACACCACAGCTACAGCAGCATTGGTGCTGTACCAGACATAGGGGCAGCCATCACCCCAGCCGACCAGACCCGGGCAAAAGCCTCTGCCTGGCGAGGAAGCGCCTGGCACCCCACCGGCCCCATCCCCTCTCCCACCCCTGACCCCGAGGTCCCGTCCCGAGGTCCTCCCTCCTCCCTCCGGCTCTGCGCGCCCTCAAGCCCCGGGCGCTCTGCGGGCGCTGCTTACCCCTCTCACTCTCCCTCCTCTTGCATCGCTCCTCCTTCCAGGGCCGTCTCTGCAAACAAACCGCCAGGGTTACGGGGCTGCTCGGAGGCCCCCATGACGCGGGCCGCCCCTCGCTTGCAGCCCCCCGGGGACGGGCCATGGGCGGCGCGGGGCTCCCCGCGGGCACCAGCAGGGATCGGAGAGGCCCGCACCCACCTCCCCCCGCAGGGCCCCGCCACCGGGACGGACGGGCGAGCGGACAGACAGGCGGCCCGCTACCGTTTCCGCTTCCGGAGCGCCTCGAAGCCGGAAGTGCCGCTTCCCCGGGCCCCCCCGGCCCCGCACCCGCCGCATTACCGAGCACCACCCCCCAGCGGCGACCCCAACCCCGACTCCGGCGGCGGCCTCCTCACCGGAAAGAGGAGCGGCGAGGCGCTTCCGGATCAAGAGGAGGAGCGCGACTCAGCTCTTCCGGGGCGCCGAGCGGAGCGGAACGGCGTCATCGACGGCTTCTCTTGAAAAAGAGGAGGAGCGGCGGCAGCCGCCGGCCTGGGTCGGCTTCCCGGCGGCGGGAGCGTGGTGGGCGGGCGGCTGGGCCGGAAGAGGGGGGCAGAGGTGGGCGCGCGCCTACCGGAAGCGCGGGTGCTGGCGAGCGGAGAGCCCGGGTTGCGGGGAGGGCGGAAGTAGCTGTGGCGGCGCGCGGCGCTCCCCAGCCCAGCGTTGAGACGGCTTCCGGCCCAGGAGGCCTCCCCGACGTGACGTGCGCCGTGCGGGTGCGCGGCCCTCGTGAATATTCATAAGAAAGATGAATATTCATGAACAGTCCCGCCCCTCCGCCGGGCTCCCGTCCACGCGCCCTCACCTACCTTCGTCCGGGCCAGCCGTCGGAGGCCGGCGCCGGGCGTCTCTTCTGCGCGGCTCGGGGCAACCCACCGCCTCCTGCCCTGCCCCGCGTCGTGTCGGCCGACCTGTCGCCCTGGGCCGGACGCCAGAGCCCTGCGCTTCGCCGGTGGCCGGGTCAGATGGCCTCCTGTCGCCGTGTGAGCCGTGCCCCGCAGTTGCGCCGGCTCTGGCACGGCCCCGGGCTCGTGGCGCTGACACGCTGGCACGCAGCCCGCCTTGCAGCAAGGCTGTTTTCTGCCAGCTTTGCGAGTCGGAGCGCCTCAGCCACATCAGTGCTGTAGCAGACATAAGGGAGAGGCCAGGCTTAAAGGAGGCAGGGTAACCCCCTTTCTGCAGTTGCACACAGCATAAGCGCACCTATACGCTTTTTTTTTCATTATTATTCACAACTTGACGCCGATGGGGATGGCAGCTCACAGTTTGACAATGTGGTTTCTCAGATTAGGCCCAGCTAGACTGCTCGTGTTGCTGTGCAGCGTGCTTAGCTGCACATAAGGCAGTAGCACATCCTTCAAGCCTTGGTGATGGCACAGGATGAGGCATGAGGCTGTTCCTGGACAATGCAGTGCACCTTGAATTGGAGAAGTCCCACCCAATCATGAAACCAAGCTGGCTATTGCAGCCCTACCCTGCCCTAAACTTTTGTAATTCAGGTGCTGAGAGACTTTTGGATATAATCTACTTCATTCCACCATGTGCAGCAGGACTAACTTTGGCACTGGAGCCACCTTCCGGGTTAAATTAGGTTCCCTTCTCATTTATGTTATTACTCGCCAAGCATTTGGCTGAGCTGTTTCAGTACTCTGACTTAACAAAAAACTTTTTTTTTTTTTTTTTTTAATTGTTATATGAGATTTGTGCCAGCTTGGCCTGCTGAAACAGCTCTTCAGGGCCAGCATGAGTAAGAGGGTGGGACCAGGGAGCACACAGCTGTAGCAGCCCGCATTTGGGTTGGCTAGGGTGATCACGAAACCACAATATCCGGAGTGCTGGGCAAAAGGAAATCTCCTGGTGGCCAAGAGGTAGTGCCTGCCTCACCCAAAAAGGTGCTGGGACAATGGTCATCCCAGGCAATGCAAAACTTCTTCCTGTGAGGAGCCAGGATTAGCTCTGTTCTTAGCAGCAGTCACATGAAGGCAATTGTTGATTTATTTAAATAAAAGGAGTTGGCAGACTAATCAGTTTGGAAATTAATTTCCTTGTTAATTTGGGGGTTTTGACTTGCTCATGAATATTCACAGACGCTCATCTCTTTTATTTTTTTTCCTCTATGTAATTTACTTTTGTGATTGTCAGATCACCTCTGAAGGTGACATTTCTCATTCTGCAACACAGCAAATTAATATTGTCTTATGTCTCAGAAGAGGAACTTTGGCCTGACACTGGTATCTCTTATGTCTCTCCTTTGCCCCAAAGCCCCTTGTAGCCTCTCTGCACTTCTCCTTCCCTTCTTCTGCTGCCCAAAAAGAAATTAACCTGAGGGTCTCAGAGAAAAGGCTGGCCTTGCCTGGGTAGCTGGGAGAGCTAGTCAAGATGTCCTGCACGAGGTAAAACCACAATTGCCATGAGGAGTGGGACAGGTGGTTAATTTTCCCTTACTATGCATGGAGTTTCTGGCTTCCCACCCCAAGCACTGCTAAGCAACTTTCAGAAGCACGTAAAGCAGTGTGACTAACATCTGTCACAGGCACTTGATTTCTTTATCTCCTTAGCAGATAAAGTAAAAGAAACAGAGGTGTGCTTCTCTGGAAAGCACACCTAACCTCTTCACCTTCCTTCCCAACTATTGGGTGCCCCCCTGTACTTATCCTGCCTGTCCTTGTTCCTTCTATGTGCCACAAAAAAGTATCCTGGCCTCTGTCTCATGCTACTCCTTGATGAAGCGTGCTCATGTCCCACATGCTTGTCCTTAGAGCTGCTGGTGGTTTGCAACACCTACCAGGTGAGCTAGCCTGAGGATGGTGCTGGTTGAAAACCCAGATGGAAGTGGTGCAAGCAGCTCTGAAAGTGCGGTGGAGTTCCCAAGAGACTGCATTGAGACAGATTTGATGCAGCCTTCACCTATGTAATGTCCTGTCCTTTGGAGGGCCAAATGCTATGCAAGGGGAGATGGCAGTACCACACCAGCTGCAGGTTCACCTGGAACGAAGCTAGGCTGGTGAGTGGGAGCAGGGCAACTAAGAGGAGCTGGCAGTTATGGGGCAGGACAGCAAACAAGCAGAGATGAACAAGAAACTCGGGGAGGCAGGCAAGACCCAGAAGGGGGTAGCAGGTGTAGGCTAGCAGGCCTCAGTCCTGGGAGAGGGCACACAGCAGAGCTGAGCACCTCCTTCCTCTGAGGGACCAGCTCATAGAATCATAAAATGGCTTGGGTTGGAAAGGACCCCAAGGATCATCAAGTTCCAATGCCCCCTGCCACAGACAGGACCACCAACCTCCGGATCTGGTACTAGACCAGCCTGCCCAGGGCCCCATCCAACCTGGTCTTGAACCCTACCAGGGACAGCAAATCCACAGCCTTTCTGGGCAGCCTGTTCCAGCAGCTCACCGCTCTCTCCATGAAGAACTTCCCCCTGACATCCAATCTAAACCTTCCCTCTGTGAGCTCATGACAAACTCAGAAAAGAAACTATGTGGAGAAAGGTACCTGAGACAAAAGCTGCCATAGCAGCTGATCTCTCACAACCTTTCTAACAAGCTTTTCAACTCAGCTTTGACCAGGAGAGAGGCAAACACAACTCTACACTGCCTGCCTGCTCAATTTCCCATTACCCCCTCCTGTCACATCTATTTGTCACATTCCCGTCTCAGCTCCTTCTGCTTCTCTGATGTCTTCATCCCCCTCCTTTTTCACCACTCTAACACAGGAAACACCTACCTCTGGACCTTCCATAGTCACTGGAGGCTGCTTGTGGCACCACTGTATGCTCTGTGTTTGTCTTCTGCCTGCATATTAACTGCTGGTCACGGTGGCCACTCCATCATCAGTATAAGTGTTAGGCTGCACAATGGGGTCCTAGTGGGCTGGCAGACCTGATGCATTCTATAATTAACCTCTCTTGCTACTTGAATTCACTGATGGACAAACGGGTTTGGAAAGAATCATGATGTGGTGACATCCATTTTAAGGATGGAGGCTGCTCATTCTTGCTCAAATTTTCATCTGCTTATGGGACAACATTAAGTTTATCCCAAAGCCACTGTTTTGTACTCACAAGCCAGTGAGTACATTTCTCAGCAAGGCATATTGTCCTCACTCTTTCAGAGAGCTGACATCTCTTTGGCAATCGGCTGATTAATTCCCCTGGCAGCGCACACTAGAGAGCATTTCAGCACGTCATTTCTGGCTTTCTTTCCACTGCGTGGAAATAGATTGCATCTTTCCCTGCTTGGTAGCTTCTCTAGTTAGTGTTGTAAGATTTGAGTAACTGAGTTGTAGCATTATCCTGCACATGCTTGCCCTTAATCATAGCATTGCAGCCGCTTCTACTCTTTCAGGGGCAAGAAAACACACATCTGGGATTTACTTTGGAACCTAAAGCACACACAGTAGCAATGTGCTGCAAAGGAAGCAGTTGCTCTGGAGCTGGGGACACCAGGGTCCCTTGAGCAGGAACATGGTAACTCAGGGCTCCTGGGATTCATCAACCTTAGCCACAGACCACTGTGTTTTGTTTGGCCACTGTGATAAAGGCAATTATTTACCAAATTTCCTGGCCAGTGTGTCATGAATACAAGTCCCATCATTTGGAAGGAGAAAAAGGAATCACTGGACATGTGAAGAAAGGCAGAAAGGCTGTGCCTGAGTACCTTCAGCACAAGAGAAAAAACACTGTCACATCAGCAGTGCCTGAGGGGGATCTCAATGTCATGGCCACAGCCAAAGCATACCAGACAGGCACAGGCAAAACCTGTTCCAGTGCAGTAATAGCTACTCTGTGGCAATAACCTCAACAGGCTTAAATCAAAATTATTTTTATTAGATCACCTCAAAAAGTCTCAAGTATTCTGTGATTCTGTGATTCTGAATATTATCCAATCAAGCAAGCATTTCAAGCATGACATATGCCTGCAACCTAGGCTGCATTAGCAGAAGTATATCCAGCAGATGAAGGGAAACTATAATTCTCATCCATGTGAGATGTGTGAGGCCACATCTGGAAGGTGTGAGCTGAGGTTGCAAGATGCATGTTAACAGACTGCAGCACATCCTGTTAAAGGGCCCCACAATAGAGGGCTGAAGCACACAGTGCACAAGGATAAGGCTGAGAGAGCTGAGAGAAGGCCAGAAGGGTGTCAAATTGCTGTCTGCCCCTACTCAAGGGAAAGTTG